AGCCTGGTTTCTTCTTGGAAGCAAACGGCAATAATCCAAAATTAAAATTTCATTAGGTTAACCTATTCCGTGCATAACTCATATGATATTATTCCTTTGGAGGCGGGGTATTATTGCTGTTGTTTTCATTTATAGTTTTCTCACTGGGACCCCAAGCAGATTAGCACTATGATACAAACATTTAGCCTACCATTAAGCAGATTACAAAATATGACAACATCGGGCAATCAGTGAGAGATTACAAGATAGGAGAACATCTGAATGTAACGGCAAAGATTCCTAATAAGACAAAAGAGTGCATTGGGGCCGGGATTGCAGACTGCGGGGTGGGGTGGGGTGGGGGCACGGGGACCAGATAACGCATGCAAACATATAAGGCAGCAAGACATTCAGTGTGGGACAGATCCCTAATAAAGGAGAGCCCAAATTGGCTCAGAATGATGCCACAGGGGGGAGGAATGGCTCCTGCCTTCCCTTCCCAAGCCATTTTCCCATGCTGAAACATCCCCAATAAAACCATCTTCTGAGCTAGTCCATTATACCTCAGCTTTGCTCCTTCTGCAGGAATGTTTCCTGAACAATTCTGTTTTGCGCATTTCGCAAGACGACAGAAGTAGAGGGGGGTCTTCCTAATAGACCTAGGTGGAGCCGTTCTACAGCGTTGGAGCCACCACAGAGAATGCGGGCAAATGTGCAACTGCCGGTCTTATTTGTCTGCAGGGTGACGTCTTCAGACAGCTTTGCTCAGGTCCTGTCCATACGAGGCCTTTTGGGCCGGGAGCGGGACAGAACGGGGGCGGAGCAAACGGGCGCGATCCCACCGCAACATCTGGGAAGCGTACCGTCTCCGTCCCTGATCCGGGCCTTCCAGCGCTGCTCCGCACCAAAAAAGAACCACCTACCGAGGTGGTTCTTTTCGAAGGGCCGCAGCAACGCTGACCGTGGGATCGCCGGCGTGTCCTTGCGCCAGTGCATCCCTGGCTCCTGGCCGAACTGCGCATGTGTGAGCATGCGCAGTTCGCCAGGCTCCCCTCTCCACCGTCACTTTCTCCCCGGCATCTGATCGTGCCGGGGAGCGACGGCGCCGCGGCTCGGGGGATCCGTGAGATCCCGCCACGCCGTCTCAACTTTGCGGTGGCTCCCATTAGCCCCAGTTCGAGCATCCTTTTCCCTGCCGTGTGGCAGGGACCTCAGATGAGCAGAGTTGTTGCTGCAGGGCAAAGCCGGAGAGCCAGTCCTGCAGGTACGTGGTCCAGTGCCTCTAAGGACTTTACAGGTGATAGCTAACATTTAGAACTGAAACCTGGATAGCCCAGGATAGCCTGGTCGGATCTTGGGCCAGCCCAGGTTAGCACTTGGATGGGAGACCGCCAGGGAAGTCCTGGGTTGCTATGCAGAGGCAGGCAATGGCAAAACACCTCTGGACGTCTCTCGCCTTGGAAACCCTGTGGGGTTGCCATAAGTCAGTTGCAGCTTGATTGTCAAAAAACCAACAAAACTGACTGGTAAACAAGGGTGTGTCTGCCGAAAGGGAGTAATATGCAGATTCCGCTTGGTGCTCTGTAGTAGCCAGGCCGCAGCATTCTGTAGGAGTGACCAAGATGTTCTTAAGGGCAGACCTATGTAGAGTGCATTACAGTAGTCTAGCCTTGAGGCAGGGCTCTTTTTGTAGCAGGAGCTCCTTTGCATATTAGGTGACACACCCCTAATGTAGCCAATCCTCCAAGTGCTCACAGTAGCCCCTGTAAGAAGAGCTCTGTAAGCTCTTGGAGGATTGGCTACATTAGGGGTGTGTCGCCTAATATGCAAAGGAGCTCCTGCTACAAAAAGAGTCCTGCCTTGAGGTAACCATAGCATGGATCTGTACGGCCAGGTAAGCGGAGTCAAGGTAGGGGCCCATCATCTGAGCTAAACTGAGCTGACAGAATGCATTTTTGCAACTGCATCAGTTTTCTTCTCCAGCAATAAGACTGGATCTTTCGGCTTTTAATCGGGACAGTGAGAGTCAACGGGATCCCACCAAAAGTGGGGAGCAACATTGTCCTTCAGGGCCTCGGCCTCTCCAACCAATATTGCCTCTGCCTCGTAAGGATTCGGTTTCGGCTTGTTTACCCTTTGTTTGTTTGCCATCAGACATTGGTTCAGAGTCTTCACCATACCGCCAGGCTATTTTAATAAACAAATATAGAGTGGGGTGTCGTCAGCATATCGATGATACCCTATTCCAAAACCGTGAATGATTTCTCCTGAGGGCTTTACGTAGAGATTGTACAGCAGGGCAGGGACCAGATGGAACTCTGTGGGCAGTTGTTCCACCATGAGAAAGGCAGGCTGGTTTTACGTTTTTGAGTGCGCAACAGGCCTTATAAAGCACCCTAGATTGTGATAGTTTATTTCTGCCCCACTGTGGCTGTCAATCTCCCTGAGGAACAGGGCAATCGCCCTCCATCGCTTTAAATTACTTGACCAGAATTAATTTGACAGAATGACACAAAATACGAAAGAGAATTTAACAAGGAAGCTCCAGGGAAGCTCAATCAAACAGAAAGCCAGCATAAATAACCAGACGGACCTCGTCCACAAAAAGGTATCTAAACCAAAGAGTAGAAATGACAATATTTCTATCGTTTGTGGTTGTACTGCAATAATTTGTAGATTACCAAATGAGGGTTTCAGAATATGGACCCAGTTGCCAATTTGGTATCCTAGAATACTTGTTCAATACTCAGAGCACACATCTCCTGAGAGCCAGTTCGGTGTCGTGGTTAAGTGCACAGACTCTAATCTGGGAGAACCGGGTTTGATTCCCCACGCCTCCACTTGCAGCTGCTGGTGTGACTTTGGGTCAGTCACAAGTTCTTTCAGAGCTGTTCTCTCAGGAGCAGTTCTGTCAAGAGCTCTCTCAGCCCCACCTACCTCACAGGGTGTCTGTCTGTTGTGGGGAGAGGAAGGAGATCGTAAGCTGCTCTGAGACTCCTTTGGGTAGTGAAGGGCAGGGTATAAATCCAACCTCCTCCTCTTCTTGTATCTGTGCCCCCCTCACCCTCCCAAACAGGGTACTTCAGCTTGTTGGGCTTGGCCCCATTTGCGGTTTATGTAGTCTGGGGGTCCCACTGTCTTCAGCAGCCTACGACGTCTGGAGACTGCTTCTAATCTCTCCTTAGGCTGGTTTTGGGGATTTTTTGGGGTCATTTCTTTCAAGCAGAGTATTTTAAATTTCTGGAAGCTCTAGCATAATGGAGTGTGCGAGCAAATCGGAGGCTGGGAAGAAAGCATGAAGCGAGAAGCTCAGGGAGATGTTGGAGAGGTTTTCTGCAATATGTCGGGAAGAACTCAGCAAGACACATCGGATCTATCATTGTCCACCTGAAGAAAAACGTGAAGAACTGGAATCTAAGGAGGGTTGCGTGAACTTGTAATGATTAAGTAAAAGCCGAAACGGCCCAGGGCATATAAAGGTACAGAAGAATAGAAATATATAACAACGGCCTGGCCTAATGGAATTACCTAGGCTCTGTATCTAGATTTGTGGTTCTTAAGAAACACTTGCCTCTTCCTGTAGGAAAAGCGAGAAGCTGGAGGGGGGGGGGGTTAGCCATGAATACAGACAGACAATAGATTTGTCATATTATTTCCAAAATAGGAGATGAGGAAGTGTTCCCATTTGCTCCCCCCCCCTACTGAGGGAACTCATTTTACAGTGTTACTAATTCTATATTGTCACTGCTGTCTTATGAAACAAGTCTGAGATGCTGTGTCCTTTATTTCTTTCTCTCCCAGTATGTATGTGAATCTCAAACTTTTAAAACAATTAATTCCCCCCCCCCTTAAATTTATTTCCTCCTAGAATGTCCCAACTCAGCCCACTTCCATTGCCCAACTGACCGGCAAGGAGACCGAAATATTTTCTAGAAGATACTGCACAACGTCTTGTCTAAAAATCTTTTTGTGTGTGTCACAATCAGCAACACCGCAGGAGAAGCAAATACCATGAGGAACGAATAGCCGATCCATAAGCTGCGCCATCCCTCTGGGCAGTGCGGGATAGACACGTCTTGGCTGTGGATAGCGATGGCGACGGCTGGGGCCTCGCAGACGGAACAGCGGCTGATGTAAGGCTGGATCTCTTCTTCCACCACAGGCATCATGGGAAGAGGGGCCGTCGTGGAGAGCCAGTAGGATTTGTCATTGCGGCTGGCGTAGTAGCAGATGTCTCCGGGGTTGCAGTAAAGGAAAGGCATCGGGCTGAACCGAGCCAAGCACGACCCAGCTAGGCCTGGGGAAACGAAATGCATGCCTTGGTTGGTGCGTGTAATTCAGAGATTCCCCAACCCCCCTTGAGCCAATGGGCTGCTTTTGAAATTCCGTCCCATGGTGGTGGGCCCAACCACAAAATGGCCGCCCCAGGAGGCGGAGGCACTTAAGCGAATGTCCAAGGGCAAAGAACAACAGAAGTAATTTAAAAAAATAGTTACAAAGAAATGTAATACTTAAATTGTATACTCAGTGTTCCCTCTAAGATGAGTTAGTGTGAGCTAGCTCACAATTATTTAGCCTCTGTCTCACTCATTTTCGTCTTAGCTCAGGAAGGGATGGCTCCAGAGCAAACTGATTCACACAGTGGCCAAATCGCTCGCTCCCAACTTTAACGCCAGGAGCTCACAAAGTGGAATTTTTGCTCACAGGACTCCACAGCTTAGAGGGAGCATCGCATACAATCACATTCTCGTGGTTACATGCATTATCTTTTATAGTTACGCATTTACTAGTTATTATATGATAGTATAAACCTTGTATTAAGGTAAGAAAAATGTGTTTTTAAAAACTCTTCTCTTTTTTAATGTTTCTTGCTTATATGCTTTCCTGCATAGCCCTATAGATAGGAAATAATGGGAGTATACACGGAAATACATTATGCTGAAGTATTGATTATCTTACCATATTTTGATTTGTTACGATACCTTTTCATGTTTTATATTCTTACATTATGCAATGTCCTTAAAATGTGTTTAACAAATTATGTTTTATGCTTCTAACTGTTCCCTTTGTCGCTTTTAATTTTGTATCCCTTAAAATGGCTTTTTATATTATTTCTCTCTCTCTCTCTCTCTTTTTATATATATATATACACACACACACACACACACACACACACAAACACACACATATGAGAAGAAGTAAATTTTAAAAATCCATAGAGAAAGAGGCAAGAGAGAGAGAATAAAATCTACCCTTTGGTGGCAGCAGCCGCTGAAATGCTATTTGAATCTGCACAGTCAACCAAGTATCCAATGGCCAATAAGAAGCTCTGCTGGGCAGGAGCTCCACCTGACCAACCACTTTCTAAGAACGCTTGGTGGGCACCAGGAAAGTTGTTGTCAGGGGCCCTGATGCCCACGGGCACCACGTTGGGAACCACTGGTATAGTTTTTACTAGAGATCTAACCGTTATGCATTCATTCATTTATTCAATTATAGTCCGCCTTTCTCACTGTGATCTGTGGTAGACTGCAGAATAAAAACCAGTGCAGTCAATATAGTGTAAGATATCCGATGAACCATGCAATTGGACTAGGATACGTACACGCTGATCCTGAAAACTCAATGCCTAGTTAGATTTCCGAAACCAAGCAGAAGTCTAAAGCATGCTCTGGAGGAAACTGAGTCGACCCCGAAGCTCATTTTCTTGTTAGGCGTTGTTCTTTTGAACAGCTTCACAAATGATAAAGATGCTCGTCATCTTAGAATGGTTTGCATCTGATATTTGATTTCTGCAGAGATGCTGCCTGAAAGATACGGGCTAGCATGCGGAAGGAAGCCTGTATAACCCAGATTAGCCTGAGCTCATTGGAGCTTAGAAGCCAAGCAGGGTCAGACATGGTTAGTGCTTGGATGGGAGACCACCGAGGAAGACCAGGGTTGCTACGCAGAGGAAGGCGATGGCCGACCACCTCTGCTCCTCTCTTGCCTGGAACACCCCAGGGATGGGCCACCGAGAGTCAGTTGTGTGACTTGCTGGCACTATATTATCAGTATGTGGAAACGTTGCATTTCGCAGGTATTGTGGCTGTGTAGAACGGCAGTACTTTAAGGCAGCGTGGAAAGCGCTTGCCCGTACGTACCCAGATCCTGATTATGGGCTTTATCTTGTCCTTCAAAATACAACAAGCTGTAGCCGCTCCACAGCTTGTTCATGCCCACTGGGCACATGGGCTCTTGATCCGACTGGCTGTGCTTCACCAGGAGGTATCCTATGTTAACGCTGCGTCCTGGCATGCCTGGAATCCCAGGAGTACCTGGATCACCTGGTGTACCTGGGGAGAGGAGGAAATGATAAGTACATTAAAGGTTGCACTGTGGAGGGGAAAGTCTTAGACCCCAATTAAAGCCAAGCTGCCTCCTACTTGGTGCAGAATAACGGAGAACAAACAATTGATTAGGTGACTCACAGGCAGGCCTGTAGCTACGGCGGGGCACTCCGGGGCTCTGCCCCCTCAAATGTGAGGCACGCCCCACAACCGCTGCTGTTCCTCCCCCCCTCCCCTCTTGTGACACTACTTTCAGAAAATTTGAGAGTTGCACTAGGCCAGGGGTGGCCAAACTGCGGCTCGGGAGCCACATGCGGCTCTTTTACACCTATTGTGCGGCTCCTGGCAGAGTGGCTGGGGAAGCAAAGGGGAGGCGTGCCCCCCCCGATCGGTCATCCCTTCCCCAGCCATTGTTCCCCTCCCTGGGTAGGCTTGAGGTGGTGGTGGGGAACAGAGAAAGAAATTTAGCTTTAAATGCACTCTCAAAGCTCCCCCCCCCCGCCTACAAGTATCATTGGATAAATAAATATCATTATCAATATTTCTTTTTTCCTCTTTTGTTTTTATTTTTGGCAGGTTAATGTTAATAAAAAGCAAATTTGCATATTTTCCAGCAAAAACGTGTGCGTGATATTCATGCCTTGCGGCACTTAAACATCTGACGTTTATTCTGTGCGGCTGTTAATGTGAAGCAAGTTTGGCCATAGAGCATTTATTTGTATGTATGTAACAGCGTTCCGTGCACCTTGGTGTTTAGTCGTGCTGGCCACATGACCACGGAAACGTCTTCGGACAGCGCTGGCTCTTCGGCTTTGAAATGGAGATGAACACCTCAACCCTAGAGTCGGACTCGACTGGCTTTCGAGCAAGGGAACCTTTACCTTTACCTATGTATAACAGAGGCCCCCAGCATTGTGCCCGTGGGTGCCACGGTGCCTGCCAGCCAGTTTCCTGGTGCCCTCCAATGGTTTTTAGAAAGTGGGCAGGTCCAGGTGGGGCCTGTACCCAGCAGGGCTTTTGATTGGCTGTGCAGATTAAAAGGCGTCCTGTGAACCAGAGCGTCTGCTGTAAATTTTGAAGAGTCACTATGAGAGTTCGGCATAACCTGGCTCTCTGGCATTTTGTGGCTGGTTCCACCTCCGGCGGCGGCCGTTTTGTTGCGCCCGCCACTCTGTGCCAGAACTCCAAAGGCGCCCATAGGCTTTGGGGACCCCAATCAATGCTCCCTCTAAGCTGTGGGGAGTCCCGTGAGCAAAAATTCTACTTCGCGAGCTACTGGCATTAAAAGTGGTGAGCGAGTGATTTGGCTACTGAATAAAATTAGTTTGCTCTGGAGCCATCCCTTCCGGAGCTAAGGCAAAAATGTGTGAACTGGAGGCTAAAAAACCTGTGAGCTAGCTCACACTAACTCAGCTTAGAGGGAACACTGACCCCAATGTGCAACAACAACAGCAACAAAAACCCTGCACCTTTCCATGCTTCTATGCTACTACAGCCTGTATTATCAAAATAGCTTCATTTCAGTACCTGTGAGCAGCCCCATAGCCAGAAAATTTGGCTTGGTGGGGCATGGGGAAATTTTGTGGGGCAGCAGGAAAGGGGAGAGGGGCGGCTGCATGCCCTCCCTGAACTCCAAGCAGCGATTTCAGGGAAGGCAGCTGCCATTCTCTCTCCCCTCCTGCAAGATTTAAAGGGCCTTCCAGCTGACTGGCAGAGTGAAAGGCCCGCTGAAATAACTTTTTCTGTCGCAAAATATCTGGCAATAGTAATCTCTCTGAAATGCCGGAGAAATGTCCCTAAGTTAACTGCAAAGGAATAATGGTTCTATTATATGACTTACTAGGATTTTAGCTTACAATCAACTCACAGTTCTGAAGATCTTAACAGAAGGTTTACCCTACTTGATCTATCCCATTTTAACCTTTTACTAACTCTTATGCACTGTATTTAGTGTACGGAGAAGTTGCCGCGCTAAAGACACGGATGATAGGCGGCTTTTCGGTGCACGATCACACCACAACATCTGGGAAGCATAGTACACCTGTGGCTAACCCGTGGCTTCTCCCCGAAGATGCGGAGTAAAAAACTACCACATACGATGTACTAGTTTCTGGAAAACGCGGGGCAAAGGCGGGTGTCTGATCACGTTTCCGATTGAATCCCGTGGCATCCGGCATCCATGTCCCGTCGCACACTGGATTTTTTTTTGGTAAGTCTCCACAGGATGTGCACAATCATGCGCATGCGCAAATGTCAGTGGAAAAAAAATCCCATTTGCCACGGAAGCGGTGCCTAGCTTGCTATATTCAGAGGAAAAAAAATCCCGTTTGCCACGGAAGCGGTGCCTAGCGATTGCCAGTGTGATCGCGCTGCGCCGCTTCTTTGCCACGCTGCAGGATAGCCGTGTGATCGGCATCTAACGCCCTAACCACGGGACCTTGACGGGACATGTGATCGGGCTGCCACCCGTTACTTTACTTCGGGGCAAACAGCCACGCTCCCCCCCCCCGATATCTGGCCCGTGTGATCGAGACCTTACTATATTTAGGAATCTTAATTGTCTCTAATACTTTTACAGCTTTATGGGGCTTTTAAAATATTATGATGATTCAGACTTTATGACCTTATGATTTTCACGATCCTTGATGTTTTTACTGGATTTGTTCTAATTCTCCTATGTAATATTAACTGATGCTATAATTCTTTATGTTAGTTCTGCTTAAGTTTAAGAACTCTGGTCTAACGAGCTAAATAAAAGTAAAGTATACAGATAATATATTCGCTGTTTATTTGTAGTAATAATGATCTGATCGTTTCAGAGAGTAGCTGTATTTTTTTTAAAACAACTTTTTATTTGGATATAACATCAAGTCAACCAATATAACATTTTAGCATCCATCTTATATCCTTTTCTCCCCATCTCTTCCCCCTTCCGGCTTCCCGCAGTGCTCCCACCTCCCAAATCTTCTATTTTCTTCTCTCTTCTCCCCACATCAATAATTAAACTTATACGGTAACATTTCTTTAAGCTATTATTCTCACACATTTGAACTAACTCTAAACATCCTTCTATCTCTTAATAGTTATCAAAGCAAAATAGATTATTCTTCACATCCCAATATTTCTCCAGATATTCTTTAAGATCTATCCAGTCTGCAAAAAATTATTCCGCTTCCTGATTCTTGAGCTTTCTTGTCATTTTGTCCATTTCAACCACAAAAAGCAACTTTTTCAGAGAGTAGCTGTACTGAGGGGCAGCAGAACACCTACGTTTGTGTCCAGCAGCACCTTAGAGACCAACAAGATGTTTTTTTGGGGGGGGGTATGAGCGTTCCGTGCGCCTCATGGCGTCTAATCATGCCAGTCACATGACCATGGAAACGTCTTCGGACAGCGCTGGCTTTTCGGCTTTGAAACGGAGATGAGCACCGCAACCCTAGAGTTGGACTCGACTGGCTTTCGAGCAAGGGAACCTGTACCTTTACTTTATGAGCTTTCAAGAATCAAATCTCCCTGGGAATCTAAATAATCTGATATTAATTTCCCAGGGCAGCAGTATAATTTCTGTGAATAACATGCCCCCCTCCCCGTGTAGATTCTCAGTGTTCCTTTCATGGATTACACAAAGGGACAGGCTTCTAAAGAGGAGGAGATTGGATTTATACCCCGCCCTTCACTACCCGAAGGTGTCTCAGAGTGGCTTACAAACTCCTTTCCCTTCCCCTCCACACAACAGACACCCTGTGAGGCAGGTGGGGCGGAGAGAGCTCTTCACAGAGACTGCTCCTTTCCAAGAACAGCTCTTGTCAGAACTACGGCTTGCCCAAGGTCATCCAGCCAGGTGCAAGTGGAGGAGTGGGGAATCAAACCCGGTTCTCCCAGATTAGAAGAAGAGAAGAGATTGGATTTATACCCCACCCTTCACTACCCGAAGGTGTCTCAGAGCGGCTTACAAACTCCTTTCCCTTCCCCTCCCCACAACAGACACCCTGTGAGGCAGGTGGGGCCGAGAGAGCTCTTCACAGAGACTGCTCCTTTTCAAGAACAGCTCCTATCAGAGGTACGGCTTGCCCAAGGTCATCCAGCCAGGTGCAAGTGGAGGAGTGGGGAATCAAACCCGGTTCTCCCAGATTAGAGTCTGCGCAACTAACCACTACACCAAAAAGAGACACTCACCTGGACACCTGTGGTGAGCAACCATCACCCCCAGGCAATGCTCCCTCTAAGCTGCGGAGTCTTGAGATCAAAAATCCTACTTTGTGAGCTCCTGGCGTTAAAGCCGTGAGCGAGCGATTCGGCTCCTGCATAAATCAGTTGGCTCTGGAACCGTCCCTTCCTAAGACGAAAATGTGTGAGCCGGAGGCTAAAAAACCTGTGAGCCAGCTCACACTCACTCAGCTTAGAGGGAACACTGCCCCCTCCCCCGGTAACCAGTCAAGACTGAGAAGGCTGGTGCTTTGTCATCAAGGATGGCTGGGGAATATATTGGACTTCCTCAGCAGTGCCTCCTCCTGAGCAGTTCATGTCCCACTGGGAGGCATGGATTTCAGCAAGAAAGGGAACAGAATTCAAGGAACACCATTTACCTTCAAATCCCAGAGGACCCTGCAGTCCCATTCGGCCCTGGTCACCTCTAAAGCCCGGAGAGGCTGGTATTCCTCCTCTTCCTTGCACCCCTGCTTTGCCGGGCGATCCTCTAAAACCTTAAGTATAGGGTTAAGCATAGTCATTAATCTGTGCAATGTTTTAAGTTGTATTTATCACACTTAGACCTGGTCAAGACAGCTTACAACATGACACCTCGGGTATCCACAAAACAATATCCACAGTGAAATCAAAGAGCAACAACAGAACCAAAACCAATATACCCAGTTTGCCACTCTGGGAGGAAGAAAGAGTAGGAGTAGGATTGGATTTATACCCTGCCCTTCACTACCTGAAGGAGTCTCAGAGCAGCTTTACAATCTCCTTTCCCTTTCCCTCCCCACAACAGATATCCTGTGAGGTAGGTGGGGCTGAGAGAGCTCCTTCGAGGACTGCTCTTGAGAGAACAGCTCTGAGAGAACTTGTGACTGACCCAAGGTCACACCAGCAGCTGCATGTGGAGGAGTGGGGAATCAAACCACCACACCAAGCTGGTTCTCCCTAAACCCTAGCTCCTAACCACCACACCAAACTGGTTCTCCCTAAACCCTAAAATATGAAAACTGTGATGAAGACCGATAAAATGGGTATCATGAACCTTTCTGAATGCTGGAACTGCTTATCTAAATCATAGAGAAATCAGGTGGTCACCATGGAATAGTGCTTGGGAGAATGAGGAGGGATTGGGCCCTGTTCACCATGATTTCAGGGGAGAGTTAACAGCTTCCTGTTTGGTCCACAGCGTCACTTGCCTTTCTGGCTGTTATAATTACTATTCCTTTATAGTCCACCTTTCTCACTGGGACGCAAGGCAGATTTGCCAGTACGATAAAAGCTAATCAATAAATCAGCAAGCGGATTACAAAATATAACAACATTTGAATCTAGCAGCAGAGATTTCTAGTAAAACAAAATGATGCTGTGGATCTGGGATTGAAGAACTGGGGGGGGGAAACCCATGCGTGTAAACCTGTCTCTTTAAGGCAGGCAAGACAATCAATCTAGGAATCCTTCATCCCTAATAAAAGACACCCCTGGAGCTGAGCCATTATACTGCAGTGTCATTTTCCCTACAAGAATGCCACCCTGAACAATTCTGTTTTGCACATTCTGTGAAAACAACAGAAGCCGGGGAGGGGACTTCGCAATAGCTTCAGGCAGACTGTTTCATAATGTGGGAGCCACCAGAGAGAATGTGCGGGAACAGGTGGTTGCCAATTTTACCTGTTTGCAGGATGGCACCTTCAGAAGGCTGTGCTCAGATAAGCAAAGCTGTCACAGTGGCACATAGCGGGAGAGGTGAGCTTGCAGGTACATGGTCCAATGCCATTAAGGTTTTGCAGGTGATAGCTGGAACCTTGAGTTGAGACCAGTAACTGATTGGTAACCAATTGGGTGCCTGTGGAATGGGAGTAATATGCAGATTCTGCTGGGCACCCAATAATACCTGGGCGGCAGGACTCTGTACTAACTAGAATTTACAAGTTGTCTTCAAGGGCCGGCCCATGTAGAGTGGGTTACGGTAGTCTAGCCTCAAGGTAACCATGGCATGGGTCCACATGGCCAGATCAGCCAAATTAAGGTAGAGGGGCCATCTTCCAAGCTTGCTTTTCCAGCAGTAAAGCTGGATCCAGTATCACCCCTAGGCTATTAAATGAGTTGGCAAGAGTCAGTTGGACTTCATCGGTGGTGGAATTCGACTGCAGTGATCACATACAGATTCAGAAGCCTTGATTTTCTGAATAAGATTATGGCAGAAGCACAGTTTGGCCAGAACTGGGTCTGAAGGAAGCAGCCCTGCTCAAGCGCAAACCTCTGTTCAGCTCAGACGCACTAGACAGAAAGAGCGACTTTTCTAAAGCTTGACAGGTCACAAGCATGTGCATTCTAGGGACTGGTTCCTTCATTCTGCTTGCTTGCATAGAAGGCCTTCTGCAGCAGGCCACATGTATGAAAAGATATTTTTATGGAAGAAGTGCTGGTTCATGGAGCATTTTCAGTTAAGACCCCAAAAGCAACATACTAAATTTCTGCCTTCTCAGGGTGTCATTCCCAGAACCTTTGCCTAAGTGCCCGGGTGACACATTCATAATACGATGTTTCCAGATGCATGCTTCTACGGGATGCATTTCCAAATGCATGCTTCACAAAACAGTCCTTGGAGTTCTGCTATATATTATTTATTTATTTACTTAGAACATTTAGTACCCACCTTTCTTCCTTACAGAGGGCAGCTTTACAACACAGATAAAATACACAAACTAGAATACATAAAACATACAACCCAACATTTAAAAGCACAGCTTGGTGAGGGGGCCAGGCACCCCCCCTGGGGAGGCCGTTTCCACAATCACGGGGCTGCCACTAAAAAGGCCCTCTCTCATGTCCCCACCAGATGAGCTTCTTTGATGGATGAAACAGTCCGGAGGGCCTCTACCTGTGATCTTAATCCCTGGGGAGAAACACACAGGAGAAGACGGTCCTCCAGATGATTCAGGTTCCAAGCCATGTAGGGCTTCGAAGGTCCAAACCAACACCTTAAATCGGGCTTGGGAGCCAGTGTGATTGCTATAATATCGGGGTCATAGGTCCCTGATAGCTGGTTATTTGGGACAAAGGCTTTGGTACTGAGGAATAGCTGGAGGAGCCACAAAGACCATGTGAAGGACTCGGTTTTAAATGCCCTTTAAACAGGCGTGGTGTGGCTATGATGATACTATGATGTATAGCAGGCAAGATGACAGCCAAGGTACAGGTAGTCAGATCATCTTGATCTGAGGTGACAGTGTCATGTGACATGTCACCAGGTCTTAAGTTGCATCATCCTGACTACTGTCACTACGATTCTGATTGGTGCTCAGATGAATATACTGAGTACAGTCTGTGTGTTCTTCATCACTCTTGTGGATTGGATTATATGCGAAGCACTTTGTCGGTTTGCCTGGTGAATTGGATACTGCAAGTGCTAATGGACTGTATGTATATATTGCTGTAAATAAACCACTGTAAATAGTTCAGCACTAGCCAACTCTGGATTGTGTTGTTATTGGCGCTTCCAATACGCTGACAGGGCCAGTATGGCCTCTACCCCAACCTCCCCTGACAGATAGGCCTCAAAGAAGCTTCTAAAGGCAGTCATTCCAGATAAGGCCTGAGGTAACAGGGGGAGAAAAAAACTAACTTCTATTAATGGATGGAATAATTAATCCCATTAAAGTGGACAGAAACTATATACAAGAATAACGCACAGCATTTGCTGGGCTCCCACAGTTATAAGATTAACAAGGTAGGGAGGGCAGAGAGCAGCGATCAGCCAAGCTTTTGATTTCCGAGGTGAATCTTTGGCCTTTCCCCAGCCTTAGAAGAAGAAGAAGAAGAAGAAATTGGATTTATACCCTGCCCTTCACTACCCAAAGCGGCTTACAAGCTCCTTTCCCTTTTCCTCCCCACAACAGACACCTTGTGAGGTAGGCGGGGCTGAGAGAGCTCTAAGAGAACTGCCCTTTCAAGGTCAGCTCTTGTCAGAACTACAGCTTGCCCAAGGTCATCCAGCAGCTGCAAGTGGAGGAGTGGGGAATCAAACCCGGTTCCCCCAGGAGAGTTCCCCCAGGTGAGTCCACGCTCCTAGCTACTACACCAAACTGCAATCTCACAGTTTAGTCTGAGCTCCTTCTGAAAATCATTCCCAATAATGTAGCCTGCTACCTTTGAAAACCAGACTTTGAGGCAGCACACTGTCTTCCTTTTTTAAAAAATAACTGAAATTAGCCTGCCTCCTCTCAAAGCCAGGCTCTAAGCTTCCTGAGGAAGGATTTCTTCCAGCCTACTCCTCTGGAGGCTCAAACCCTATCTGAACTAAGCTGACAGTGTAAACTGATTTCTCTCTCTCACACTCTCCCCTCCCGCCTGGCTTCTCCGACCATTCATGAGCTCTGATTGGCTGTTAGCTGCTGTGCACAGACACTGGTTGGTGAGTGGCAGAAAGGGGCAGGGCCTTTGCCCATCCGTCACAGCCACCTTCACAGGGAGGGGGAAAAAAGCCTACCTGGATCTCCTGGTGGACCTTGTGGACCCATTTCACCGGGACTGCCGTTAATCCCTCTGCCCCCCTGAGGGCCTGCTGCCCCCTGCAGAGCATGCAGTTTAGGAGGGACGGGAGCCAGGCCAGGGGAACCTGGAGGTCCCTGGAATCCTAAAAGTTAAAAATGTATCAGTAAAACAAGGCAAATGACTTTGGAAACAAGGTGTACAATTTACATTGACCCATCTCTTTACGGCTACCTGGTGCTAAAGATTGTTCTTAGCTGCAAATTATTGCCATTCTTGACTTGGCTTCTTAGGGAGGGGTGTGTGTGTGGTATTTAAATTCTTCCATTAATAAAAACACAGTTGCACTTACCAGTAACTGTTGCTCATCAAGTTGTCTTCTGTGCAGGCACACATGGGACAGCGCACGCGCAGGCCTGCTGCGGACTAGAAAGCTCTAGAATCTTGTAATTCCTCTCTGCGGCAGGCCTGCGCATGCGCTGTCCCATGTGTGCCTATATAGAAGCCACGAACACGAACTGGGCAGATTTCAAGATGGCCAATCACACAGTGTCCAGAGGGCCAAACTCTCAGGACAATCAGGGTGCTGGGAAGAAGAGGCCTCTAGAGTGGTGAATGGCAGCCGCACAGGTTGTGTCCTTTCCAAGATGGTGACAAAGGGGGGAGAGCATCAAGGCCAGTGGTTTGTCGGGCAGTCTTCCCCACTTTTCATCCCCCTTGGCCTTCACGTGTACCATGAGGGAATTCTCACGGACAGGAAGCAACGCAGAAACTAGTACCAGCTCCTGCTTTTAGGGGTCAGGTTGTCCCACCACCATCTTGTTTTTTCAGCCACACTTCAAATGTATAGCTTATAAGGGTTAGAGATGATCCAGTACATTGAACTCCTCTGTTGATCCAGGAAGAAGGAGAGAACTTATGAAAAGATACATGTTTCCTGAGTATATCCATAAAATGGGAGGGGGGAGAAAGAGCATGGCTAGACTGAATGAGGCTCTGCTTCTGAATTCTAAAAGGGTTCCAGATACAGTTGCCAACTCCAGGTGGGTCCTGGAGATCTCCTAGAATTACGATGGAGCTCCAGATGACAGAGATCAGTTCCCCTAGAATGGCTTTGCAGGGTGAATTTCCATAGAATTATACCTCACTGAGGTTCCTTCTCTCTCCAAGCTCCGCCCAAAAATCTCCAGGAATTTCCCAACCAAGCGTAGGGTTGCCAGAACCCCTGTCTGGGTGGGGGTTCCCCCGATTTTTCGGCCTACTGTCCACCACCGGCCAGCTAGTTGGCGAGGGAAGCCCTACCCCCAAACAGGGATGTTGTGCAGCGACGTTCCCAACATGATGATGTCATGCAGAAGAGACGTCATCATATCGGGACGTCGCGTGACGATGCTCTGCTTTTTGGGAGAAACTCTATTGTTTTAGGCCAAATACCCATAGAGTTTTGCCCGAAATGCAGAGTGTCGCCATGTGATGTCCCCAACGTGATGTCATTTCTGCACGCTGTCATCATGTTGGGGACGTCACATGTCCCTGCCCACGCCTAGAACACCCCCCAAATCCCCCCACTGGGAAGCTGAGGGGACCTGGAAACCATCACCAGGGGTCAACAACCCTAGTCATGAAGCAGTCCGTGAAGAGAGTAAGGATTGTTTCCTTAAACAACAAATTAGCTGGCGAAGCACAACCATACACTTACCTGTCGGTCCTCTGTCTCCTTTGGGTCCCCTGGGGCCAAAGTCTCCCGTACTTCCTACTAAGCCAACAAATCCCATGACTCCTTGGTCACCTTTCCTTCCTGTAAAAGAAAGCAATGATGGTTGCGTGTTACCGTGTATCTGCATAGACAGCCTGAACCAGCAGATCTCAGGGCTGGGTTTTCCCACCCTACCTTTTGGCCCTGGAAATCCTGGTATTCCGGGTCTTCCATCTGAACCTGGGTCTCCTCTAAATCCTTTCGGACCGTCTGCTCCAGCCACGCCCACCTGTCCCACTTCTCCTTTGGATCCCGGTGGAGCGGGTATTCCGGGTCTCCCCGAAGGTCCCGGGTAGCCTGTTATGATTTACACATAGTTTTACAACCTGTATCAAATGACAGAGCTGGCAGCAACGACAAAGGCTTGCCTTTCCTCAAATAATGTACTGCGAGTCCATGATACAGTAGTCCCAAACTTTCAAACGCCATGAGGGAAGTAATACCTTGTTAGGAGACTTCCAGCTACTTGCTATAACCACTTTAGCTGCTGTTAGTAAAATTGAGATAAGTTCTTGACTGTGTTTAAAAATATGAGGGTCATTGTTGTTTAACAAAATAAAAAATGTTATTTAAATAATAATAATAATAATGTACTGCTGGTCAGTACGGAGTCGCGTCTTGTCTATCACAACTACACTACAGTCTGCGAAACATTTAAAAGGAGACAGCGGCATGGAGCAGTCAGCAAGAAAGACGTTATTTGCATTACAGCATTAATCAGCATTAATCAACTCAGCATTCGACACCACAGAATCTCTGAGAACTTTCCCTA